GGCGCCGTGGACCAACCGTTAATTTATTCTCAGTGCTATATTTAAATAAGTTGCCCTCTATTGTTAGTTTGTGTTCAAGTTTTATCTGGTCTCTAATCAAGGATGGGCTATCTAGCGTTAGTGTTATGTCTATCGTTTTTTTCCCAGGGTGAGGCACGTTGAAATCAAAAGAGCCGTCGATTTTTTTGAATAACTTTGTATCGGAGGTAATTTCTGCTTTAGCTGATATCTGCTTCCAGGCATACATTTCAATTTTTGCATTTATTTTATAACCGCCGCCAAATTTACACCCATATATGTGCAGTTCGCCCGATGCTTCCATCATATTTTTTTCCTCGTTATATTTCCACGTCAATTTTTGGCTTTCAAACTTTTGGTAAGGCGTCGTTAAAATAATAATTCCTTCTTTTTTTACTCCTAACGCTGAAACAGAAAGTGTTTTAAAATTGAAACTGAGTGAAATTTTTTTATTTCTTGACCAGGTAACTTCAGCACTAGCTGACCAATTATCTAATTCTGCATGGTGCTTCAACTCAAGTGTGACCGACTCGTAATTTCTGAAACTTGAAGTGCCAATAATTTTTGCGTTGAAAATATACGGATACTTATAATCAAAATTGAGGCTCATGCCAACAAATTGATCATCCCACAAAAGTTTGGAGTTCACGAAGTACCCCGATGTGTTGCTCATCAAGTTGTTGCTGAATTTAATTAAACTCAAATGCTTGAATGGTGTTTTTATTTGCGCCAGTATCGCGTCCAGAGTGTATGTCAATTCGCCGATTATTTTCCGATTCGGATCCCACGTTATAACTGCCTTCGCGTCGAGTTCATTATTTTTCAAAAATTTATGTTTGTATGCCAAGCTCCACTCTTCAATGCCCTTTATTGAACTTTTAAAGCCCAAGTTTCCGTGTACGTCATACCTTCCAAATGGATCGTTTCTGCTTTTGGCCACATCGCTTTCAAACACGAACGCGAGATAATTCTTACCTGGCCAGTCGACTCTTAGAATTAATCCTGGCGACTTGCTCGATAAGGAAATTTGACCCGTTGAAATGTATTTCACTTGTGGACTCAAAACAAATGATACCTTTGTGTAATAAATCGAAATGTTTTTGCTTACTTCAAACTGAAAAGAATGTTTGGCCTTCTGATAAGCCACTTCTAAATTAAATTTATTTGAAAACATTTCATGATCTTTTGAAATGATGTGGTTGCTGCCGTCCAAGTAGTAAGTGTCTCCTTCATAAGTAACTCCGAATTTGAACTGAATGTGCTTTCTCATGGGTGAAAAGTGACCAAAGACGCGGATGGGCTGGTAATCATTGAGAATTATATTGTAGTCAACATCTGCTCGTCCGTCACGGATTTTCATAGTTCCTGGCGCCAAGAGTTTTGTTGTGAAACCTGGAATTTTAAAAAGTAATCTACTCTTGATGTCATACTCTAACAATTGTTTTTCTTTGATTTCATGTTTCAACTCCAAAGTGAAGTGCTCGCCGAGACTAACTCCAAATGCAGCTTGCATATGTGCCAGGCCATTCGATTGAGGCACGGTGGAGTAGTCTAAATTTCCTTTCATAATATTTTTATTGTCTTTAGCAAAGCTCAAGTTACCTTTTGTAACTTCATAGGACGATTCGCTGTTGAAGTAAGCGTCGTAGTTCAAATTCTGTTAATTCGATAAAAAAAAATTCAATTTAGTTTCATAATTATCAAACGAGGTAAAATGTAAAATATCCTTTATTGTTAATTTCTAAAATAGATTTTTTTATTTTCAAAGCTTACAAGTTGAGGAATATCGACTTTGATGTTGGAGCCAACTTTCTGCATGTCGTAATGATCGATGTCGTATTCAACACCGAACGCAAAAACGTTTCTTATCTGGCTATTCTTCTGCTTCATTGCGATCTCTGTGCTAACCCCCGTGGGCGAGTAGCCGAATTTCAAATTCCCTTTTGATGTCAAGATGGGAAACTGCGTTGATTCTAGATCTCTGGAAAGACAAACATTGCAAGCCAATAAAACACAAAATTTCTTCTCTTAAAAATACAATACATAAAAAATTAACTAAAATAATATTAAAACATCAAACTCAAAAAGCAGATTCATAAACATCTTTTGATGTAAAAAAGATGGAATAACAAGGAATAAACAAACAAGACACCCACACATCTAAGTCATATGAATTTTTGTATCCCCTCGTTAAGGTCTTCATTTTAGCGTCAAGGCTCATCTTTTCAATTTGTGGGCCAGTATAAATGTACTTGTATTCCAGATCAGCCTTGATTAATCTTGGTGCGTCAGTGATGTTTGGATTTTTTGAGGTTGTTGCTATCAGCTTCAAATCAGTGGAGTCAGCCTTCACCACGATGCTGATGTCGTGTTGGTTCGATCGCGGAGTATAATTTGACGTATCTGTAAAATAATTCATGACACGTTTGAACAATTTAGAGAGGTGGAATGGATGCGCTTGTACATTTAAAACAAAATTGTAACATCAAATAAATAGAAACATCATGTAGCGTGAAAAATTGAATTACTGAATTATTAGCAGAAAGGCAACACCAACAAAAAAAAACATGAACAAAAATAGAAACCGGCATCACTTACAATTGAGAACGAACGGTGGTTTGTCATTACATTTCGATTCGAAGGTGAACATCGTCTTTCTATCACTATTGAGAAGTGTCGACCTCATGTTGCAAACAGTGTATGGCCACTTCATCTTTGACTCGACAACGTGTGGCGTGGTTGGAGACGTCGGCTTCAAATATCGAAACTCGAAGGATGCGAACATTATATCATCACTATAGAAGGTGACTGCGTAATCTTGTTGACTGATTGTGGTGTTCCTATCGGCAATCATCTTCAGTTTGGTCCAAGGTGAGCGAAGTTCAGCATTGATTAACGACTCGGCAAAACTTAAATTGTATCTGACGGAAATTTGTCTATCGACTGTTGATCCTGGTGTATCCATGACTATGTACATGTAGACCATCATGTTGTTTCTCTTGATTCAGAAGATTAATAAAAAATGTTTTTTGGTTCATTTCATTTACTCTTAATATAAATCCTTAAACCAATTTACAATTTGAGAAAAAAATTTTTGTTGTTTATAGGATCAGCTATGTTTTGGCAAATAAACTCGAAAAATAAATAAAAATAAAATAAAGGAATTAAACAAGAAAACTGATTTCAAACTGACCATAGATGGTTCTATGTAGGTGGCTCCAAAATGATATCCGGTCATTTTATCTTTTTTCACCAAATAAGCCTTGCCAGCTGAGAGTGGCCCTGTGACTCCTTCCTTGGTTTTTATGTGGGTCATTTCACTGCACAACTGCACGCCCGTTATTTTTGTAAACTTATCTCCAGTGCACCTTTATAAAAAAAACATTTTGACTGTGATAGCAATAACAGCCCAATAATGTTAAAAAATATTCATAATAATAAAAATTTATAATTGTTTTTTTTATTATGAATAAAATATATTTTCTTAAAAATATTATACTAACTTGACAACGGTTTCATGAGTTAGCGATGGGTTGCTGTACGCGATATCTTGCCCGCGGTGCACTGTGTATGAATTTGACCTGAAGAACGATTTTAAGGTATAATTATTTTAAATTATAATTATTTTGAATTATAAATTATCTCGTTATAATTATTTTTATATACATATTTCGTTTCGAATCATTTCGCTATTTTTGACAAAAAATTTTTTCAATTTAAAAAGAGAAAATAATTTTACATTTAAATTTTGTTTAGAGGAAAGAGAAATTACTACTACTACTACTACTACTACTACTACTACTACTACTACTACTACTACTACTACTACTACTACTACTACTACTACTACTACTACTACTACTACTA